CCTGCTCTCTGTCTTCCCTCTAATTCTTTCAATAATAACCCTACCATACACTTTTCCTGGTCTTTTCTTTCAACACACCGGCCGTATCCCACCGAGGCGGGGTGGCCCAAAAGGAAAAAACGAAAGTTTCTCCTTTTACATTTAGTAATATATACAGGAGAAGAGGTTACTAGCCCCTTGCTCCCAGCATTTTTTTTTCCTGGTATACTCAGTAAATTTATTCCCCTATTATTTTTACAATCTCTTTTGTCCTTCCCTTTATATAGAGGAACTATACATGCTCTCTGCCAATCCCTAGGTACCTTCCACTCTTTCATACACTTATTAAACAAAAATACCAATCACTCCAACACTATATCCCCCCCCCTCCCCCGAGCTTTTAACATTTCTGTCAGGATCCCATCAGTTCCAGTTGCTTTACCCCCTTTCATTCTATGTAATTCCTCATGCACCTCCCTCACACTTGCATTTTGCTCTTCTTCACTCCTAAAAGATGTTATACCTCCCTGGCCAGTGTATGACTTATTCCCCTATAATTTTTACACTCTCCACGGGGAAGTGGAACAGAATTCTTCCTCCATGAGCCATGCATGTCATAAGAGGCGACTGAAATGCCGCTAGCAAGGGGCTAGTAACCCTTTCTCCTGTACATATTACTAAATTTAAAGGATTAACTTTAGTTTTTCCTTTGGGTCACCCTGCCTCAGTGGGATACGGCAGGTGTGTTGAAAGAAAGAAGAATTTTTACACTCTCTTTTATCCCCTTTTTCCTTCATACAAAAGAACTATTCATATTATCTGCCAATCCCTAAATATTTTCCCCTCTCCAATACATTTATTGAACAAAAGCACCAACCACTCCAAAACTATCCCCACCTGCTTTTGACATTTCTGTTTTGATCCCATCAATCCCAGGTATATTACCCCCCTTTCATTTTAGCCACAGCCTCACACACTTCCGGAACTCACATTTGACTCTTCCTTACTCCTAAAAGGTATTATACCTACCCTGCCAATGAATAAAATCACTGCCTTCCTCTCTTTATCAACATTTAACAAATCCTCAAAATATTACCTCCATCTATCCAGTACCTCCATCTCCCTATCTAGTAACTCCCCTCTTAAGTTTTAAACTGTTAAATTCATTCATTACCTAGGCTTCCTCAATTTATTAATCTCTTTCCAAAACTTTTTTATTCTCATTCTTGACAGAACCTCACTCAGTTTTTCATTTGCTCTCATTTTACATTCCTTCACCACTCCTTTCATCTCTCTTACTCTCCATATACTACACCCTCCTTGTATCACTTCTGCTTTGTAAAAACCTCTCATATGCTAACTTTGTTTCTCACACCACTCACTTTACCTCATCATTCCACCAATCACTCCTCTTCCCTCCAGTACCCACATTACTATATCCACAAACTTCTGCTGCACATTCTAACATTGCATTCTTAAATCTACCCCATACCTCTTCAACCTCATTACCTATACTCTTACTAACCCATCTTTCTCTCAACAGTTGTTTATATCTCACCCTAACTATATAACTACCTCTCCTCACTTAGCGACGTACTCATTCACCGACGACTCGGACTTACTGACCAAGATGCAAACCTAAATAATGTATATCAGAGCTGATTTCCTCTATTCTGTTTATTGCAATATGCAGTACACTGCTGCATAAACATTTAAAAATATACCAGAAATGTTATAAATGGTGCAAAGGTGACATTAAAACAATATCAAAGATGGATGACACAAACACACCACCTTTATAGTATGCTCCTCTCTTAGCGACAAATTTGTTTACCAACGTGGTCTAAGGAATGGAACTCCGTCGTTTAGCGAGGAGAGGCTGTATATATATATTTTTTTTATCACATGACCATCTCCCACTGAGGCAGCGTGATCCGAAAAAGAAACACTTTCACCGTCTTTCAATCACTGTCTTGCCAGAGGTTCATAGATACTACAGATCAGATGCCTTTCCAAAACTGCAAATATCCCCATCCCTCCTTTAGAGTGCAGGTACTGTACTTCCCACCTCCAGGATTAAAGTCCAACTAACTAGTCTCCCTGAATCCCTTCACAAAATGTTACCTTGCTCACACTCCAACAGCTTGTTAGGTCCCGAAAACCATTTGCCTCCACTCACTCCTATCTAACACACTCATGCCTGCTGGATGTCCATGCCCCTTACACACAAAACCACCTTTACCCCTCCCTCCATCCTTTCTTTCTTGGGGTGACCCCTACCCTGCCTTTCCTCCACTACAGATTTATACACCTACCAAGTCATCCATCCTAATTTGATCCATCCTCTCTAAATATCCAAACCATCTCAACCCTTCCTCAGCCCTCTAGATAATACTTTTAGTAACTCTACACCTCTCATCACCAAACTACAAATTCTCTGCACATTATTTACATCACACATTCCCCTCAGACACAACATCTCCACTGCCTTCAACCTCCTCCTTGCTGCAACATTCACAACCCATACTTAACACCCATATAAGAGTGTTGGTACCACTATGCTCTCATACATATCCCTTTTAGCCTCCATGGATAACATTGTCTCCACAGATGCCTCAATGCACCACCCACCATTTCCCCTTCATCAATTTTATGGCTCACCTCATCTTTTATATATCCATCCATCAACAAGTCCACTCCTAAATATCTGAACACATTCATTTCTTCCATACTCCCTCCCTCCAATATAATATCCAATCAGTCATTACCTAACTTATTTGTTACCTTCCTCACATTGCTCTTATCTAAGTTCCCTTTCAACTTCCTTCCTTTACACACCCTCCCAAATTCATCCACTAATCTTTGCAACTTCTCTTCAGAATCTCCTAAAGGTACAGTGTCGTCAGCAAAAAGTAACTATGCCAACTCTCATTTTGTATTAGATTCTACATATTTTAATCCCAAACCTCTCTCCAACATTCTACCATTCTGAGCAAATTTGTTGATAAAACCTCACTTTCTTCCTCATTTGCTCTCTTTTTACACACTCACCACTCTAACTCTCCATATACTCCACCCTTATGTCACTTCTGCTTTGCAAAAACCTCTCAAACAATTTTTTTCTTCTGTAACAATCCCTTACCTTATTATTCCACCAATCGCCCCTGTTCCCTCCTGCACCCACCCTCCTGTATCCACAAACTTCTGCCACACATTCTAACACTACATTTTTAAAACTACTCCATGCCTCTTTAACCCCTGAACTACCTATTCTCTCACTAGCCCATCTTTTCCCCAATAGTTGCTTATACCTCAGTCTAACTTCTTCCTCCCTTAGTTTATAAACATTCACCTCTCTTTTACTTGCTGATGCCATTTTCCTTCTGCCCCATCTACCTCTTACTCTAACTGCAGCTACAGCTAAATAATGGTCTGATATATCTGTTACCTCTATAAACATGCACATCCAGAAGACCAACACTTAATCCAACAAGCTATTATCATTACGCCCTATATCATATCTCGTATAATTAGTATTTATCCTCTTTTTCTTAAAATATATATTACGTACTTATCACCAAACCTCTTTCTATACAAAGTTCAACTAAAGGCATTCCATTACCATTTACCCCTAGCACCCCAAACTTACCTTCTACATCCTCTACAACAGTTTCTCCCACTTTAGAGTTTAGGTTTCCCACCACAACTACTCTCACCTGGTTCAAAACTCCCAAACACTTACTTAACATTCTCTCTATCTCTCTCTCTTCTCCAGGTGCATAAACATTTATTATAACCCACTTTTCGTATCCAACCTCTATTTTATTCAGCATAATCCTTGAATTTATACATTTATATTCCCTCTTTTCCTGCCATAACTGATCCCTCAACATTATTGCTTCTCCTTCCTTAGCTCTCACTCTATCAGAAATCCCTGACCTAATCCCATTTATTTCTCCCTAATGACACTCTCAGCTCACATATTGAGGGTCTGTGGTTCAATCCCCCTAGCATTAAGTAGGTACTTGGACTGTTGTGGGTGGCATCACAGGGAGTGGCAGTATATCGTAGATGGGGCTGGGATTTGAAATGAACCGAGGTAGGATAACAGCTCTTAACCCGTAAAATTTATCATTCTACATTACATTATTAATTTTTTTTTCAACAAACCGGCCGTATCCCACCAAGGCAGAGTGGCCCAAAAAGAAAAACGAAAGTTTCTCTTTCTAAATTTAGTAATTAATACAGAAGGGATTACTAGCCCCTTGCTCCCGGCATTTTAGTCACCTCTTACAACACGCATGGCTTACGGAGGAAGAATTCTGTTCCACTTCCCCATGGAGATAAGAGGAAATAAACAAGAACAAGAACTAGAAAGAAAATAGAAGAAAACCCAGAGGGGTGTGTATATATATATGCTTGTACATGTATGTGTAGCGTGACCTAAGTGTAAGTAGAAGTAGCAAGACGTACCTGAAATTTTGCATGTTTATGAGACAGAAAAGAGACACCAGCAATCCTACCATCATGTAAAACAATTACAGGTTTCCGTTTTACACTCACTTGGCAGGACGGTAGTACCTCTCTGGGTGGTTGCTGTCTACCAACCTACTACCTACAATATATTAAATATATAAATACACATACACACATACACACACACACACACACACACACACACACACACACACACACACACACACACACACACACACATATTCTTCTTCTTTCAACAAACCAGCCCTATCCCACCGAGGTAGGGTCGCCCAAAAGGAAAAACAAAAGTTTCTCCTTTTAAATTTAGTAATATATACAGGAGGAGGTTACTAGCCCCTTGTTCCCAACATTTTAGTCGCCTCTTACAACACACATGGCATATGGAGGAAGAATTCTGTTCCAACAGAAATCATACCAGCCCCAACATTTCAGGAATATACATTATAATCCTTAACAATCACATGAGTTAAACCAGTCCTGTAGTAAATTAATCTTGGCACCAACACAATTCTTTAGCTACTGACCTCATCCTTTGAGATATAAGCACCACCATCCTTAATTCTGATGCCAGTTTTCAAGTAGTTGAAATGTCTGCCGTAAAGCTCAAAAAACTCTATCAACAAGACTCCAAGGTTAGCATTGGGTTGTGATGCATCTAACCGCTGATGTAACTGAAAAATGACAAAATAAATGTTAAATTTAATCAAATTAATACATATATATAATGAAGGCTTTTTTTTTTTAATAAATCTAAGATAACTTCCTTCCTCTGGGAGATCTGCAAACATTCCCAATACCTTTATTAAGTCTTGAGTTAAGAACTCTCCAAGGAACATCTCATGCATTTATTAAGAAATCTTACATGGCTTTAATACAGTACAAGTGAATTAGTTTACTCTTATATGCCTTCTAAAATAAGAGCAAGTCAAAAGAATGAATGTCTTGGTCATCATGTACAAGTAAGATGCAATAAAAACGAAGCAAAAAAAATTGCAATAAAATGTTTACTGAGAAGAGTAATGAGGGATACAATAACTGGAGTAAACCACCTAGCCAAGCTCAACTGCAGTGTAATTATCTACAAAAGAACAATAGGAAAAATAATTATTTTCAGAGCTAAATCTGTGTGGGTCATTTAGTACTGTAAATTAGGCATGGGGTATCCCTGTTTACTCACTCATGATAACACATACAAGGGTAACCAATTTCAACCAGGTTTTGACCCATTTTACACATCAGCCAATTTCCACCCAGGCAATAATGACCGAAAGTAGGAAAACACGTTTTGTATAATCAGATTAAAATTTCAAGCTCCTGAATCATGCTCCCAAACAATTCATTAAGAGTATGTTATCCCCAGTCAAGGAAATGCACTAAATCATGCTGTGAATACTTTGCTCAGCTGTGGACTACATACTAGTTTGCTGGACTGTACACAAATAACCCGCACATAAAAGAGAGAAGCTTACGACGACGTTTCGGTCCGACTTGGACCACTAACAAAGTCACAATGGTCCAAGTCGGACCGAAACATCGTCGTAACAGATTAGATAAGTGCCCTTAATACATATATACGTGTGGTGCATATAGTGTACGTTACTATTATATTGTACATTATTATTTTTATTATTTTTCATCACTAGCTAATGAAATACCTCCAATACTCTATACTTCTTTCTTACTGCTATTAATTGCTCATAATTTTAAATTACAAGTCAAATCTTACTCCAAATTAATAATATTCATTATTCTTACCTGTCCATTTAATTTGGTTTATCACTACTTGTTTTTTTAGTCACTTTTCATTGTGTATGCAATTAGTGTATATTCCAATTACTTTTTTGCAAGTACCAAAACTATCTTTTGCTAGCTAGTACCAACTACCTCATTTTTTTTACTTTTATTGTGCAATAAACTGCTCAATTTATTTAATATTACAAATCAGATCTTACTCCTAAACCAATATTATTTCATAGTGACCACCTGTCCATTTAACTTTGTTTACCATTACTTAATTTTAGTCCCTTATATATTTTCTCCTTTATTTTAGCTTTATATAACTACCCTAGTTTATACATTCACAATTGTTAAAATAATCAAGGTGCTATTCTCAGGTGCTAAAGTAGAATAAGTTCACAATTTTGCCATTATATTCCAAAGCTCATTTATTTGATTACCACTTTATTGTTCACCACAACTTACATTAGTCCCTTTTATATTATTATTTTATACTATAATTCTAACTTTAAAGAATTACCCTTATAGTACTACCTACTATCATATTCCCAAGCTCCATTACTTGATTATCACTTTATTTGTATTAATCCCTTTTATATTGTCTCCTTTATTTTAGCTTAAAAAAAAAAAAAAAAAAAAAAAAACTACCTTAGCTCATTATTTTACATTTGTTAAATAATTCAGGTGCTATTTTTTAGCTTAAGACTATTTACTTTGTTTTATACTTAATTCTAACTATAGATTCACTACAAATCTTATGATTACAAGCATTGATCCTGATACCAACCTCTTATTTAATGACTTAAATGAATCAAACAGTTACTGTAATTACTACACTGCAGAACAATCAAAGGCACTTCTCAGTGCCAACAACAACATAACTATCTTTAACTACAATATCGGATCTTTAAGCAAGCATTACGATGACCTCATAGCATTATTAATTCCTTACATGCCAATATGTCCATCATTACACTAACTGAAACCTGGCTAAAGCCTGATAGTACAGATGTCTATGCCATTCCTGGTTACACAGCCATACACAACTGTAGGCCAGACCAACAAGGGGGTGGCACACCCATATACTACTCAGACCAACTAGAATGTATCACTAATACTTGCACAAGGGATGAACATGGGGAATATATAATAGCCAAATTCAAATCCAAATACCTACAAAAACCTCTCACATTGATAAACATTTACAGAGTTCCACAGTCAAACATTAGCCAATTTAGTCAAAACCTAGGAAGTATGAAAACTGATGCACGCATGAACAAAGATCACTTACTACTCTCAGGTGACTTCAATATAAATCTCCTGCAAGACCAGGACCCACACGTTACTGAATTCACAAACACAATGAGTAACTGTATGTTGCTACCAACAGTAAAAAAACCTACAAGAGTTACAGAGACTAGTGTTTTCCCTACTTGACCACATCTGGACCAACACCATATCCCCTTTAAAATCAGGCATAATTACAGATAATACCACAGACCACTACCCTACTTTTCTCATAACAACTCTTGGTACATTACCCCAAGACACTACTAAAGTCACCTTTAGACTTCACAATGAGGCAGCCATTAATAACTTCACAACAGCAGTAGCAAACATTGACTGGCACACTGAGCTAGAAATCTATACAGATATTGACGAATGTATTAATAATTTTCTAAAAAAGACCCAATACCTCTATAACAAGCACTGCCCTAAAAAAACTAAACAGATGACAGCTAAGAGACTGAACAGTCCCTGGCTAACACCCAGCATTCTCAAATCCATAAAAAACAAAACACCAATATGAAAAACAGTACAGAATGGGTCACATAACCAGAGACCAAACAAAACGTTACTCGTCAATCCTAACCCGCCTGATAAGAAGGGCAAAAAATTGTATTATGAGAACAGATTATCCAACTTACGAGGTGATATAAAAAAGACCTGGAAAACCCTATCAGAAATTCTAGGAACAAAAAAGATATCACGAAATAGCGAAATAAAATTAGCAAAATCAGATGAACCCAACTCCCACCAACAGAAACAGCAAACAGACTCAATGACTTCTTCTCCACTATAGGACAAAACCTTGCCAATAAAAATCCCAAGCTCAGATACCCCCCAAATGACTACCTCACTGGCAACTACCCGAACACAACTGTTCCTAGCTCCGACTAACCCATACGAATCTCCTTATTATCAAAAACGCTAAAAAACAAGGCAGGAGATTTAAATACCTTACCACCCTTTATATACAAAAAAAGTGTCACAAGTGCTATCACCAATCATTGCAACACTCTTTAACAAATCCATTGAATCCTCCACCCTTCCCTACAGTACTCAAAATAGCAAGGGTCACCCCCATCCACAAAGGAGGAGACCAAACAGAGTTGAATAACTATAAGGCCAATATCCAACTTACACCCTCTCTCAAAAATCTTCGAAAAATTAATTCATAAACGAATCTACTCCTACCTTATCTCCCAAAACATACTCAACCCCTGCCAATTTGGATTCAGGCCAAATAAAAATACAAATGATGCTATTATACACATGCTAGAACATATATACACTGCAATAGAGAAAAAAGAAGTCCCACTGGGGATTCTTATGACTTACGTAAAGCTTTTGATACAGTTAACCATGACTTGCTCCACGTAAAGTTGTCACACTATGGTATAAGAGGGCACTCCTCAACTACCTCAAGTCATACCTCGCAACAGAAGCCAATATGTGTATGCAAATGGGGCAAACTCTTCTGCACAACCAATTACAGTTGGTGTCCCCCAGGGAAGTGTACTTGGCCCTCTTCTCTTTCTCCTATACATAAATGACCTACCAAATGCTTCGCAATTACTCAAACCCACACTATTTTCAGATGACACTACATACGTCTTCTCCCACCCGAGCCCAGTCACCTAGCCAATACTGTAAATACCAAATTACAGAAAATATCTACCTGGATGAGGATTAACAAACTTACACTAACATTGACAAAACCTACTTCATTCAGTTTGGTAACAGAGCTACAGATGTCCCTCTTAACATAATGATAAACGGATCACCTATCACAAAGCTAACAGAGGGAAAATTCTTAGGAATCCACCTTGATAATAGACTCAAATTTCATACACATATACAACAAATTTCTAAGAAAATTTCCAAGACTGTAGGCATACTATCGAAGATACGTACTATGCTCCACAGTCAGCCCTCCTGGCCCTATATCACTCTCTTATTTACCCCTATCTCACCTATGGAATTTGTGCATGGGGCTCAACAACAAGTAACCATCTCAGACCCTAATACCCAACAAAAGGCTGCAGTTAGAATGATAACAAATTCTCACTATAGGCAGCACAAATCCACCAATATTCAATACACTAACCTACTCACCATACAAAACATCCATACTTATTATTGCACCTATTACATACATAGAACACTTAACTCTGATATTAACCCTCCCCTCAAACATCTCCTTGCCAACCTCAACAGAACACATGACCATAACACAAGGCACAGATCACTCTTTGATGTTCCTCGTGTCCATCTCACACTATGCAAAAACTCAATGCACATAAAAGGCCCTAAAATCTGGAACTCATTACCTGTAAATATAAAAGAAACACTACCTGTTTATAAATTCAAGTCTCTTCTCAAAGATCACTTACTCACCCAAAACCAAATAAATACTGAATAACTGAACCTTATAAATTGTATATCTTAAATGTTTCTCACAATTATATCACATAATGTAACCTAAACCCAATCTAACTTTATTATTTTTAAATACACTACCTAACAGAATACTCCATTCTACTGAATGTACAACAATGCATACAACCATATGACCTGTCTTTGTAATACTCACTTGTGCTTTATAGTAATCTGTTTACATTAAAGTTTTATCACTGATGTCATCATTGCT